CATCTGCCCCAATTCCCCCCCCGTGCCGCCGGGCGGGGGCGGGGCGCCGAGCCGCCATGTTGTGGCCGGGCTGCCGGGCCGGAGCCGGAGCCGCACTCACCGCGAACCCCGCCGGGAGCTCCGGCCATGAAGAGGGCGAGCAGCGGCAGAACGGCGGCGGCGGAGGCGGCGGAGGGCGGGGGGCGGCGGCGGGGGGGGGCGGCCATGGCGGCGGCCGCGGCCTCGGAGCCCAACGGCGGCGGCGGCGCCTCGGGAGGGGCGGGAGGGGGCGGGGCCACGGAGGGGGCGGGGCCGGCGGGAGGAGGGGGCGTGGTCGCGGCCGGGAGGGGGCGGGGCAACTCTTAAAGGGGCCGCACCGCGCCTGGGGGTGGGGGGGGAGTGTGCAGGTGTAGATGTGCGTGTGTGTGCGTGCATGTGTGTACTTGTGTGTGCATGTGTGTACTTGTGTGTGCATGTATGTACTTGTGTGTATATATATGTGTGCGTGCATGTGTGTACTTGTGTGTGCATGTGTGTACTTGTATGTGCATGTATGTACTTGTGTGTATATATGTGTGTGCGTGCATGTGTGTACTTGTGCGTGCATGTGTGTACTTGTGTGTGCATGTGTGTACTTGTGTGTATATATGTGTGTGTGTGCATGTGTGTGCATGTATGTACTTGTGTGTGCATGTGTGTGCATGCGTGTATTTATGTGTGCATGTGTGTGTGTGCATATATGTTCATGTATGTATTTGTGTGTGCATGTATGTACATGTATGTATATGTGTGTGTGTGCATGCATGTATTTATGTGTGCATGTGTGTGCATGTGTGTGCATGTATGTATATATGTGTGTGTGCATGTATGTACCTGTGTGTGTGCATATATGTGCATGTATGTATATGTGTGTGTGTGCATGCGTGTATTTGTGTGTGCATGTGTGTATTTGTGTGTGCATGTGTGTGCATATATGTGCATGTATGTGTGTGTGCATGCGTGTATTTGCGTGTGCATGCGTGTGTGCATGTATGTGCTTATGTGTGTGCATGTATGTACTTATGTGTGCATGTATGTGCATGTATGTATATATGTGTCTGTACATGTGTGTGTATTTATGTGCATGTATGTATATGCGTGTGTGCACGTGTGTATTTGTGTGTGCATGTGTGCGTGCATACATGTGCATGTGTGTATATATATTTGCGTGTGCATGTATGCACGTATGTATTTGTGTGTGTGTGGGTGCGAGCATGTCTGTGTGTACATGTGCGTGTGTGCATGGATGCACACGTGTGTTTGCACATGCATATGTGTGTGCTTGCACCGAGCAACGCACGCAGCCTGCATGGATGCAATGCACTGAGCAACGCATGCAGTCTGCATGGATGCAATGCACTGAGCAATGCACACAGCCTGCATGGAGCAATGCATGCAGCCTGCATGGATGCAATGCACCCAGCAACGCACACAGCCTGCATGGATGCAATGCATGGAGCAACGCACGCAGCCTGCATGGATGCAATGCATGGAGCAACGCACGCAGCCTGCATGGATGCAATGCACTGAGCAATGCACACAGCCTGCATGGAGCAATGCACTGAGCAATGCACACAGCCTGCATGGAGCAATGCATGCAGCCTGCATGGATGCAATGCACCCAGCAATGCATGCAGCCTGCATGGATGCAATGCACCCAGCAATGCAGCGCCCCACGGAGGCCTTGCAGCCACGCAGTGCTCCGACAGCGCTGTGCTTTATTAAATATATTACATTTGGGTCATTAAATAAGACGGGCGGCCCCACACCCAATTGGGGGCAGCGAGGGCTGTGACAACAGCAGGACGATGCTGCTCTGCTTTGTTGTTTGGTTGGTTTGGGTTTTTCTTTTTTTGGGGGGGGGGTGGGGGGGCTCAATGCTCCTCTTTGGGTTCGTGCAGGGAGCGCTGCAGTTTCTGCAGCGATTTCTTGATGCGCAGAGCTGTGAGACGGGCTGCTGGGCTCTGGTACCAACACTCCTTCATCAGCCCCGGCAGGGCACGCAGGGCCTGGGGGCAAAGGGGGACATGGGGGTCCTGGGGTGCATGCAGGGCCTGGGGGGCAAAGGGGGACAAGGGGAGTCCTGGGGGTAAAGAG